TCAAACAAGTGTTAATAAAAAAATAATAAAAGGCTGTGTGTAAATACTTACTAGGCTACTTTGAATTATATTTTTATATTTTGTCTTTATCAGCTGCCAAGAACGTTTGGAGTTGCATCTAAAAATCAATGAATATTAATCTTTATTAGTATATACATGCACATTTTTTTATATATTATAAAAATATAGGCTATATTTCACACACACATATTCATACATCATTTTACATGAATAAAGAACGTATTTATTTAGCTTACACATTAACACAATCAGCAATCTTTCTCCAACAGTCTTCTCTTGCTTTAGCAGCAGAGACCGTATTGTTTCGAGCTTGTAATACATATTTAAATTCATCGTAATTCTGAATGATTATCTCTTGCTCCTCCGCGGAAAAAAATATCGCTCTCGCTCTATCCATATCGAACGCGATTGGTTGTTCGGTGCCAACGTCACTTTGGTATGTGCACGCGCACGCGCTCGTGGAGTAATCATAGCTTAAGATCAAAGCCTGAGTTGACAGAGAAAGTTGATGAGCTGCGTCATGGTACCAATAAAGCCTGATTGGATCGGTTTGGTTTTGTCAACTCAAAACTAATCCTGTAACTCCGAGTTTGTTCAGCTACCTTCATGGTACAGGCCCCTAGTCATGGTTATATCAGTTAGCCAAGTTTGATTCTGATAAAAGAGAATATGTTTTTGACTATATACCACCTATATATATTTAAATACAATTGTCTCTGTACAGGGTTTTGATCCCCCACCCCTCATTGCCCATCATTTAAAATGTATTATTTACAATTATTTATATGTTGTGCTTACTGTACTACTGTAAGTTTTGTTTGTTGGCGCCATCTAGTGGAATATTCTTCATCATTATACAAATAATTGTTTGAAAAAATGGGTTTTATAGCATGATATCATGGGAGTCTATTATGATTCCATAAAATTACTTAGTTCCATTGATCCTAAAAATATTTTTGAGTTCATATGAAAGGCTCTATGATCAATATGTGGTGTATTTTTAGAAAGTTTTGGAATATTTTTCCTCTCCCCAAATTTGTCACCGAAACACAACAGTAAATAATTTAATAAGAAGGCTTATATTGACCTATTCATATTTTGTTTACATCTACCTTGTACATATATTTTTTGCTATTTAAAAAAAAGTTTTCACAGGTAAATCAATAACAATTACAATTTTAACAATATTTCAAGTGTAATTTATAAGATTTGTTGTATTTTGAACCCAATCTTTCTTTGTAAAAGGCATTAAGTTAATCATACTGATTTCAAAGTTAAGGATTCATTAGTTAGAATATACATTGAACAAATACTATAGTATTAATACACTATAATAACATCTTAGTTGATAATTCAATATACTTTCTTTTAGACAAAACATGCATGTTTCGGTCGTGACGCCACATTTTCGGTACTGACAGTAATGTTTTGGTACCGACCACTGCATCACATTACAGAATTTTAACTCGCATACTAAAACACTACTAAAACATACTAAGATACTAATGATTTGCATAACTGTACTAAAATGTTGTTTATTTCCCCCAAATAAATGATTATGTGTTCCATTTTGTCACTACCAAAACAATGACAACACGTTTCGGTCATGACTGTGAAAATTTTAGATACTTTTGAGCCTATAGTTCAAATATGATAACCAGCACATGGTTAGCACAGTTCTGAACAGTTGTACACACACACAAACTAAATTTGATCAAAAAAAAAAAAAAAAAAAAAAAAAAGATGTCACAACTGAAACTTCATCACGTTTCGGCAGTGACTGTTTCGGTAGTGACAATTTAAGATACTTTTGAGCCCGTTCAAAGATGATAACCAGCACATGATAACCAGCATATGGTTACCTAGCACAGTTCTGAACAGTTGTACACACATAAAAACAAAATTTTATGGAATAACACCCAAAAAAGTGTGCTTAATTGCAGAAAAAAGGTGTTTGGTAACGTTCCTTAAAGTTACACACAGATTTTCAGACTTTTGAACACATTTCCCTCAAAATGATGGTACCTATCTATAATAAAAGAGATTCTATGAGAGAAAAGCACACAAGAATATTTCCTGATCAAAAAATGTCTCAGCCAACGGACTTAAACACACACTGTTTTGGTAGTGACATGAAAATGTGGGACATTTTTTTACATAAAGTTATGATGTTTTATTAACAAAGTTCGGGAGGAGCACGTTCAGTTAGGGTTAGGGTTAGGTCACCTCACTCCATTGATAGTTTAGCAGCATCCCTCCACCGTCCCTTCTCCACACTTCCAGTCCTAAACACTTACATAGGGGGGAGTACTCTGGGTCCGTGCCAAACTCCGAGCTCGGAGCCCTCCCCCCGGACAGCACGCAAATACGCATTAAATCTTATCCACTCTAATTATATGTAAGTGTGAACTCGTGAATCATGATTTAAAAATAAAATACAAAATAAATGTTTGTTTTTTTTACTTTTTAAAAGAAATCAAAAGGATATTTTTTAAAAACAACAATGAAAAAAAAAATTCATTATCATTTTCACAAGTTGAAATATAGGGGTGAGAGTTCGGGACAGCCACCTCCCAATTGAAAGTACCCAATAAATTATGATTTTATATATATTAAACTTACTGATATTTTAAATATTATTGTGGGATTCAATAGATAATAGAAGGATCTTTGTAAACATCTAACATTTAAATAAGTAAATGCTTTTTAAATGTGTTGTATGGTTGTGGGACAGCAGTTTGCACCAATTCTGTAGAATGGCCCATATATCATTATTGGTCGTAATGCTCTGTGATGTAACACTAAAATGGCCTTACAAATATTAAATGCTTAAATAAATCACTGATGTGTTTAAATCATTATATGAACAGAGCAATGTAAATAGGCATTTGGGAAAAGTCCCCATGGAATAACAAACTAAACATCCAACACAAGTAACATATTAATGTCAACATTAGAAAAGGAGTAACTTTTGCATTTGAAGATGATGTGCAGCTTTTTTTTTTTTTTTTTAATTCCCCCTTAGTACATAAAAGTGTACTACAACATCCAGGCAACAGCTTCATTAAAACCTTTGGTTAGACTATTAACAACTGCTGTAAATTGTACAAATACTACAAATGGCTACTACAATGGCTTTAACAAACTCTACAAATAGCTCGTTTATCCTCTGTGCTTCACCAGTTCTAACCTGAATTAATTGAAACTTTAAATTATTCTCTAGATTTTAATGACTTCACTCTATTTTACTCTGTTGTACAATTTGTACATCTCCACTGCTGTACTGCTGCTCAGGCCATTAAGCAATAATACCAGACCAACATTTTGTAATTATACCACTAGCAGCCTGCTAACATACAATCATTCCAATTTATTATTTTGGCAGTGCCAATTAGCCTAATGCACAGTTCATGCAGGATAATAATTAGTTTGATTATTATATCCCAATAAGATAAAAAAAACTAAACCTACTAAATTAAAGTTTGCAGGTTTAACTATAACAGTACAATTATTAATACATTTCAACAAACATAATCAAATGTTATTTATGCCTCATCAGAGCAACTTAATTAGATTACCAAAACATATTTTTAATACATGACAAACATGCTCAAATATATTTATATCTCAATTAATAAGAAAAATATTTTCGTACATAATGTTGCACACAAAACAATAAGTGGATATACTGTATGTGTTCACATTGTAAAAATAATAATTATTGGTTTAACTTAAAGTAATTTGAAGTAATTAAGCAAAATAAAGGAGATTTTAATCAACAGAAACTCAAAATATTATGTTAAGTTGATTTAACAAAAGAAAAAAAAGTGAAATCATTCAAATAATTTTAGGAGAGTCTTTGCATCCTTTTAGGAGAGATCCTGCATATTCTTCTTGGACATTTTAGGCTTTAGCCATCATACATGGTCTCTGCATTTAAAAACAGGTCATTTTTTGGTAAACAAGGTTAACTGATTTGTTAAAACGGTTTATTATTAAGGTTTTTAACCTAAAAACAACTGTTGGGATTATATTTCATGTCTTGCACAATACATAGAAAATGAGGCCTAACTGCACACCATTGCCCTCTGGTGTCACAGAGAAGAAATATTTTTTTTACAAAACTGCCAGTGTTTCACATTATGTATCACATTAACCATGCACCGTTTCTGGGCATTGCACCGAAAATAGTCCTGCATTAATAACCAATATCTGTCCTGGACTGTGCTTAAAATATGTGAGGGGCATCTTCTGCGCTTGAATCCAACTGAATCAGTTATAGTGTTAGCAATCGAGAAAAACTGCTAAAGCTAAATTACTAACAGGAACTCATAGCTTATTGTTGTATTGCTTAAAGTTCACAGAGTTTATAAAACCTGCTTTGAAGAATCCGAAGTCTGCCATAAAACAGCTTTTGATTACCTACAAAGCAAGAGAAGAAATTGAACCTCATTAGGCCTGTGGTTTCATAAAAATGTTTATTTCAAGATGATGTCTCAAACCTTTTTGCCCTTTTACATCATATACGCCTGAACACACAAGCGTTTATCATCAATAGGTGCCTCTCTTTGAGGGCAGTATCTGATCTGTCACCAAAGAATACATTGCCATTATGCCCCAAGTTCCTCTATGTACAGATAGTTACGATCCTATGAAAACTAAAGAGAGATAAAGAGCTGCTGGATAAAAAAAAATCGTAACTTATTTTTTTCTCAGAGATGTTCACAGGTAATGAAGGAAAGGGAAACGTACAAAGAGAGGATGACAAAGTTCTCATAGTCACAAAAAACACAGATTAAAAATTCTCTGAAACAGAGACATAATAGCTTGCAAATTTAGCACAGCTTATCGCATCTTAAAAGATTGAATACATTTTTTTTTTTAAATGATCATACAATATCATACCACCATTTTCCATCCTTGGGGGAAAAAAGAACGTTTTCAGGCAGTCTGAACTTACAGAACTTTTTTTACCATGATTTTTTATCTATTTTGGGTTTATGATTTATTTACATTATATAAATGCATGAAAACAATGCCAATTTTAAATGTATCACTGCAAAAGCACTGCATTACTAATGTTGTTTTTAGAATACAAAGGTTTTTATAAAGGTGTTTAAAGCAACCGATATAATGAGAGATCACATTCGGAGCAAATCCTTGAGCGAAACATCAAGGAAAATTGGACTGAAATGGCCACACAATGTTCTTAAAATGGCATACAATATATGAGGCTGTCATGGGGTCTAATTCAATAGTCCTCTTGTGTTATTCTCACATTCTTGGCCAATGTCTTCATCACTATTTGTGACCATCTCCTTTGGGCTGGAATTACTAGGATTGGTTTTATTTTTCTCCTTTTTTTTGTCCAGCTTGGGATTTGTTGTCTCTGAAACAGAAGCATTTAAGACAAAACATTTTTACTTTACATGATACCTTAAACACTATCCTTATCCTTAAGAGAGACTATTTCAAGCATTCATGTTTTTTTGGGTTGCACTGATTATCATCTATTTGCATCCGTCAGAATTACTGAACTTCCACATATTTTAATAAGCATTTTATCTCAATCTGGACAAGGCAAAGCATGCATTTTGAATTACCCTCTAGATTAAAATGATGGCCCCCAATTGCTTCACTGCTTCCAACAGCATCATTGTCTTCCTCACTGAGTTCCACTATTCGCTGTCTTGCACTCTCAAAAACAGATTTCAAAACAATGGAGTCTTCAAAGATCTAAGATATAGAGAGACATTTAACGATCTCGATAAAATTCATCTGCTATATTCACTGATACAGTTTTTTGCCTGGCAAAAATATTCAGACCCATTTATCACACCTGTTAACTGCTAAAGTAATTGTTTTAATGTTTAATGTGAATATGAACATAATGGTTATGTTAGACAGAATTAAAAAAAAAATGTTAAAGAGATAGTTCACCCAAAAATTCTGTCATCATTTACTCACCCTCAAGTTATTCTAAACCTGTATACATTTCTTTGTTCTGCTGAACACAAAGGAAGATATGTTGAAGAAAGGTTGCACTTTGGGGCACCATTGACTTCCATTGAAAAAAAAAAAAAAAAACTGTTCAGGTTCTCACATTCTTTAAAATATCTTCCTTTGTGTTCAACAGAACAAAGAAATGTATACAGGTTTGGAACATAGATAGGTCAAAAGGTCATAGATGTTTTTTGAAAGTATTTTTAAAGGATGAATGACCCAAGAACAGGCACACCTGAGATCCTTCCAGATTAAACGTCTGAGCGTTGTGACACATCTGCATGATATCCTTTTCCAGGTCTGCAATGCACCTGTATTTGTGATTACGCACTCTCTCCTGCATAAGCAAAACCAGGATCAATTCAAAGGAATTTGTTTAAGAGAGCAGAAGACGGAAACAAAGGTACTACATACATTTCCTGCTTTATCCATTTCAATGCAAACACCTACGGAACATTAAAAGTAATGACAGATTTTTTTATTTTTTTTTTGAATCTGTAAAAATTCTGTCTCCTGCATATCACTATAAAACCCAATCAGCAAAAACACACAACCTGTGTGACAAAAGCAAAATCAATGTGTTTCTTGAGCTGAAAGGGGTGTCAGTGTGGCGATAAGAATGGAAAAAAGTGAAGAATGGTCTGGTGGAAAAGGGAGTGATGGAAGCAGAAGGTGAGATTTGTGTAATTGGTAACGATTCAAGTTCACCCTGATCCTCCTGAAGTCGACTGGCTTGCGGATGAGCTCGTAATACTCTGGCACCTCTTTTCTTGACGGCAGCTGGACGAAACCTTTACTGATCTGTCGGCCCAACCTGTGTATTCAAGAAAAGGCACAAAAAAAGAGCTGTTACTCATTTTATTGTGCTGTCTGACGTTGAAGTACACGTGCACTGACCTGACTTAAAAAATAAAGGGAAAAAGTATGAACTCAAAACTTTGTTGAAGTTTTTCGTAAATCGTCATGTTTTAGCGTTGCGTTTTATTTGTCATGAAATAAAAACAGAACAACCAATTAAGTGTGTTTAAGTACTGACGTGTCCTTGTAGTTGATGACCATGTCTACGATGGTGTTCATCTGTTTTGTGAGCTGGGGAGGGTTGGGGGGCAGCTTCTCGGCAGGAGGGCGGCCCCGCCGCTTTTTTACTTTCTCCACCACCTCCTGACCAGTTTCAGAGCCCTGGTTGCCTTGATCGCTTTTTCGTTTCTTCAAGTTGCTTTCCTCCTCCATAACCTCAGACACTCCGTTTTGGATAGCCTGAGACTGAGGAGAAGACGTGATCCATGGGAACACTGATGAGCACTACTGGATGTGACAGAAATCGGGATTTGGACATGAACTGGAACTGTAAAGTATCCTCACTATGCACATTCTAAGATCAAAAATAAAATAATACCTTTAATTGTCTTGGTTCTCTTCAATAACCTGCTTAATATTAGCCAGTTGACAAGAAATAGAAGTGATGTTTTTTTATTAATTTTTTTAAGAAAAGGTTAACTTTATAAGTATGAACTAATAATGAATAATTCTCTTATAGAGCATTTAATAATCTGTTAACTTACTGTTCATTGTAAATTCATGTTCTTTTTTTTATAATACATTTAATAAAGATATATATGTATAAATTAACCTAAATTAATAAATAAAATGGCTGTTCGTTCATGGTACCTAATGCATTAACAAATGCAAAGTAAAGAGCTACTGAGTTACAGTTTAGGACACGATTTCTAAAATTCTAGGATATGTATAAGAGCTATCGGGACATTATTGTGCAAATTTTTATGAAATGCATGGTGTATGTGAATTTGCAACTCATTATAGTAATATTCTTAAGACATATGGAGGGATTAATAATCATGGCAGAAGTTCATTTTAAATCTAGCTTTGTGCCATCAACATTATGCCATGGATTGCCACAAATAACACAGTTGGAAGATTTTCTGGCAATTCATGCACTATGAACATGTAGTTTGCAGGATTTTTAGGATATTTGCATTGATGTACTTTAAACACGCTTAAAAATAAAGTTTCCAAAGGGTTTTGTTTTTTTCGCAGCGAATACCATAGAATAGCTATTTTTGGTTACTCAAAGAACTTTTCAGAACATGTTAATAATCTAAAGAACCTTTTGTGCAAATGGAAATGTTCAATGTTAAAAGCTTCATCACGGAACCACAGCTGTGAATAAAAATAATCTTTATTTTTAAGAGTGAATAATAATCAAACCAAGATAGTTAACATAAAATAAGCAGTTTAATAAACTTTCTGGCCTTTCATCCGACCACTTCCAGGTCCAAATTGACACAGATCATCATTATCTTGGCTGTATGTCTTAAGATGCGTTCAATCTTCAGTCCCTAACACGAACAGCTGCTTTCACCTCCATTTAATATTTGATAAAGCATCACTTAGCAATATATTACGAGCTCTGTACCACACACGGGTTTTGGGGGAGGCAAGAGATGCTGGTTACTGAACTTCACTCCCATTGTGAATGAAAGGATTGATGTTTACGACAATGCCCATCTCCGGCCAACACGTCTGACATTACTTCACCATACACAGCTTCCACTGAACGTGTTCCAGTAAACACGAGACGAGGCCCCACGCCGCCGCTTATGAACATGCACACGCCTCACGTGTGAGAATAAGCAAAAGTATAATTCACTCTGTGTGTGTGCGTGCGCGCGCGCGCGCGCTGCCGAGTCTGTGTTTTACACAAAGGCAATTTAAGTGCAGTGATAGCAAGTGCTGGCGCAGAGAGCATATGAGAGGGATAAAAATATGAATTCTGAGTATGACGCTATGCGGGCAGCGCCATCCATTGATGTCTACATACATCAAACGCGCGCGCACACACAGAACGCTCTCAAGTACTTAAAATGCAAAGAAATCAGACAAAACAATACGCAAATGTACTGAAGT